AGCACTCCCATGTCTGCGGTCTGTTGTTCTAATTGTGGTGTTTGAAAATGAACGTATTCAACCCCTTGAGTTTGCCTTCTGATTTATAACCGTCAGGTGCTACTTAGTGACACTTGCCTACACGAGCGAATTGTGACGTTTAAGAACAAGTTGGATATTAACCGTCACGAAACTAGAGATACATTGACCACCACATATGAACAATGCACATACGTCGTTAAAACATCTAAATTATAACTGCGAACAATTTCTTTTTTATGTCGAAAAACAATGAAATATTCTTAAGGATACTATTGCTCACACATTCAATTCTTAAATACCGATATTAGAAAAACATGGAAATATCATCTGGATTCACAAAAAAACAGAACAAAAAATCTTGACAACTTATCATCAATCACAACTTAACAAATTCGTTCTTTTTGTGAAGTGTATCATGGGCAACAGTCAACAACAGATAATGAAAACCATTTATGGTTACTTCCATGTCCGAGATAAATGAAAAAAACTCATGACAACATGCAATCCCATGGGAAACACCTTATGTGCCTTTTCTGTATAGCTGTGAGATGTTTCAATGCAAGCAATCTAACTAATTACTGCCTTTTACGGATATACTGATCACAAGTGTAGTAGACAGCACACCGCAATCAATGTTAAGTCCATAAAATCAAGAGAATGCTTTTTGTTGAAAATATTATTGGGTTAGTCACCAGTCGATTAGAACTGTAATAATGCAAACTAAATAATAATAAGTAATCAATGCAAATGTTTTTTTTTCTATTTGAATAACCTGTAGCTTTGAAAATATTGGCTTTTAATTCAGTTGAAATGTATATAAGAAAACGGAATTAATCAAGGTCAATAGGAAATAATATTGAAATTTATTGGATTGCGATTTTTTAAACTGATTTTCTGTTGATATCACAAAAGTTTGGTTAATACCAGTTTAGGGCAGTTGGATCGCATTTTTTAGGAAGTTGAGTAGCACATTAGATAAAATTACCTGAATTAAAATTCGATATTGGTCTTTCGAAAGCTGAAATTAATTTCCTCGTTCAATTTTAATTCTCCTACTATGCACATTTGATTTACAAACTGTTCCATTCTAACTTGAAGATTTTAACATCGTCCAAAATAAGAGTTAATATATTTATTTGAAAATGGCTTTCGCCTTTTAAACAAAAGCCATTGGTGTTCACGTGTACAAATCATATACTTCTACTTTACCACGTGAGACATTAAAAATTGTCTAATTCATATCATAATAAAACTGTTCGGCGTTGTTGTCACTATAATAAAGATGATAAATGCTACGAGATTGTCTCTTAATGAATACCACAATTATTTCTGTGGCCTCCATTTTGTCCCAGGACAAAAATATCCGTTTGTGAGAATGCTGATGTAATAAATCGATAATTTCATTTTAATTGATAATATGATATCACAGATGAGACGTTGCCTAATTGAACGTACTTGAGGAATAACAGAAGTCTGGTATTACAGTCATCCATAAAACATGAAAGAAAAAAACAACGACCAATTGAGAAGACTGAGGCAGGCTTGATAAGTTGTAAATTTACTCAAAATTTACACTCTTAGTCAATTAAAAAGGAAAACATCACATTGAACACTTTATTTGCACACCATCTTTGAGTCCTGACTTCCAACGCTCCAGCCTTCTTCCATTCCTGCTGTTGCTTCCTTTACTTCCTGTCGATGCTCTATTTATTTCTTGTTTTTGCTCTATTTGCTTTCCGTTTTCCTCTTGTGACCGTGAGACTTCTTCTTTCACGTCCATTCTTATACTACTTATATCGTTCGTATAAGTAGCACACACCACACTCGTCCCCCCTTTAACAAGTCGCTCTCTCAGCCTTTCTGATCTCCGTACAGCCGTCTTCTTTATCAGTGTTTGTGGCTCGCCCTCTTGGCGCACTTGGAACCACCTTTGGAGTTCGCTGGCATTCACGCGTTTCTGTTTGTTTCCTTTCTGGATCGTATACACTGCGCCGCGCCTCTCGGTGACGACGTACGGTCCCTCCCATTTCGGGATCAGCTTACCTGACCCTGGCCCTCTTCCTGTTGTATATTTCCGTTCTCTACACTTCACCTGATCTCCCACTTCAAACGGTCTCCAGTTCTTTCTCTCCTGTTCTGACTTCCGCATGTCTGATGTTTGTTTCTCTCTCACATTCTTGATTGCTTGTCTCCGCTCTGTTCTCAACCTTGTTGTATTCCATCTCTGTTGTTGCGGCCAGGTTTTATCATGCGTTGGTAGTCTCGGCCGTCTGCCATACATCAGCTGGAACGGTGACTTCCTGGTTGTTGGAAAAAAAAAGGAAAAATTCAGAAACATATTGACTACTAGTTATGGTAGAATATAGAATAATTTAGATTATAAATATACAGTGTATTGAATAATAGGAACGAATGACGTTACTGAAATTTTTGTATCCATTACGAATGAATCAATATACCAAAGATTCTGTCATTAGTTTTCATCTGTATATGAAACTTACAGTAGGAATTACTTTCAGAACCAATTAATACCATGTTAGTTGGTTTGACAATGTCTAGTGTAAATGATAATGTATTTAGTTTATATACTGGTCAATGTATTAGTGAAATAGAATAGCGAATTAGTTTACTTATTTATTGTCAAGAACATATAATCTGGTTGGTTTTGTTTGTAATGGAGCGAAAACTAAGAAATTTACCCTGCATGAACTTTATTCAAAAGGAATTATACAAAGCAATTGTTTTCAGCTATTCTAAACTGTTTTTTTTGAGGTTTGTTATTAATAATTCACTGTTAAACAAATTAAACTCAAAGTTCTTTTCTGGACTTTGGCAGTAGATTGGTCTGTTTATAGCAAATTACATTATTTTTGTCCAACAAACCATCATATTGATCCTGAGAACTATTAAAAATCCATAGTTCTTCTAACAATGACAATACTGAAAATGGTAAGTTAAAACATAGACAGAATTGATCATTTTCATGAAACCTTTCACTTGTTTCAGCTATTTCCAAACGTCTTTTTTTTCAGTGAGATACGAATTATGCAGTCCTCTCGTGGCGATATAATGTAAGAATAAAGTAATTTATAAAAAATAGCATTGTATTTTGTTCTACGAGAAGTTCAAACCAACTGATTCCAGTTATGTTTTGTTCATAATGTAAGAATACACTTATCGACTTTAACCATTCAGATATTCTGGAGATAACTAACCTAAATAATTACTACATACCACATCACTACACTATATGTGAACATGTATACCATTTCTCAATAGTCACTGTTCAGTAATAAACAAGTAATATATCGTATGATGTTAGTTTTTTCCTTAGCACTGAGATTCAAATTTTAGCGGATCTCACATTTATTATTTATCAGTAAATGCTTTTTTTCTATTGTTGTTCAGCTAGTGCTCGCAAATACCATTTTCTTTTTTGATGTCAAGAAACTCATTCCATGGTTACGGAGGAATAAATATTTTCTTCTTTACTAATATTATGTTGACGATTAAGATTAACACTAAATATTCATATTCGGTCCAATTTCATGTTTATAATTGACGACAGTCGATGCACACGTTGCAGCATTCTACAGACTCACTGACGATGTTCTGTTTCCATTCTATATTTCATACTTATGTCAGATTGGTAGTTCTTCAACTATACTGACTGATACAAAAAAAAGTTTGAACATTGAGTAATGCTGAAACTTATTCACTCCTAAGATTATTTTACATAAGTATCAAGTTGTTTTCTATAAACTAATTAAATACTGTCAATTTATCAATTCGTATGAGCTTTCAAAAGTTCTCTAGTCCGTAGAATGATGAATAATTCACTTGATAATACATAACTTGACTAAACTATGTAATTTGTATGGATTGTAAAATATTAAACAAATCATCTGATATGAAGTGAAAAATAGCCATTAATTATTTTGTCCAACATCATATGTTTTTCTGTATTGGAAAAAAAAATTTTTATTTTTGCAACATTTTTAGTTTGATGTGTTTAGTCTTGAAAAACTAACAGTGCACAATTTCTTGATATGTTGATTAACTACGATTGATAAACAGAAATATACATATATATATATATATATATATATATATATATATATATATATATATATATATATATATATATATATATATATATGATATTGAAGTTATACTGTCTTATCTATTTAGTCAGTTCATCTACCAATCCAATTCATGAACTAGTTATTATATACACGAAATATCATACAAAATGCATGGTGGCTTGTTTGTTGCAGTCCTTTTTTTACAGTGGAAGAAACTAAAATATTTTACTGCGGTTCATAGACAGATATACATATTTTCATCAATATATATATATATATATATATATATATATATATATATATATATATATATATATATATATATTACTAAAGTCAAGTTTGATTCTGTTTTTCCCCAACCCAAAAGTTTTATGTCAACCCAATTTCACTACTAAACAGCGTTTGACCATCGTCGACATGATACTGATAAAGCAAAAGGAATTTAGTTAGGGATTCACTAAGACATTAAACTGTCAACTGCCTGTCAACTAGAATATTCACATTAGAAGACATTACTTAGTCTTATTTTTTCTTGCTGATTGCTGTCAATATTGTCTTTTTTTGTCTTACAGTTTGTATGCATGTGTGTTGAATGAATGTGTTTCGTTGATGGCCTTAACTTCGAATATAAAGCATACGAAAGGACACAATTTCTATAACTTGTAACAAAACAATAGTTGTCTGATTAAAGAAATAACCATAATCTTCCGCCATCTATCCACCCTTGATCACCACTATCAACATACACACAACGTAATACAGTTTATGCGATAAGACCTTGAACACACTTTTTAAGGGAAATTTTGATTGGCTTAACAAATTCAATAACTTTTCGCCCAGTATTCAATACGGCATATATATACATAAATAAATATACATTTCATACCAAAATATTGACAATGAACATGTTTCTACCATCAAAGAATGTTCGATATTAAAATGAAAATGGACTTTAATCACATTACGACACAATAATTACATCGTTAATTAAGGGAATTAATTTAAAGGAAATTTACATTTTATCCACACGTTTTCGGTTACGCAAACAGTTCAGGGTTGATAATTTTGTTACCCTGACAAGCGTACAGCAAAAAAACTCCTGGTGAAGATACAAAATTATTCGCAGTAAGTGAGTCTGTAAATTCAATATGTTTAATAATTTGCTTCTCGAGCAGTTTTACGTGCGTGAAAATAAGAATTTGTTAACACAAACATTTCAGTTTAGGAGGACGTACACAAGTGTTAGGATTTCTCAACAATTTTCTCAAGTTTCGAATAAAATTATTTGTAACAAACGATTAGTTATGGTCTTGCAGGGCAGTTACAGTTTCATATACACTGGCTAAACCATTGAATTCGTTGAAAGTCGTTCGCTTCATTAATTCGTTTTGATAGCTATTCTACCAATATCCTTGACTGATGTAGGTTTAGATATTTAAGAACAAATCACCAGTTACCTAAATATTTATTTAGGGCAAAAGTATTTTCAACTTAGTTGTTAAATGAAAGTTTTTATTATTATTCTAAGGTATATTCATATATATTCATGTATTGTCATTATGTACGCTTACAACAATCTTTTGTTAGGTCAAAGACATGATATGTGGTTTACTCGAAAAACATATTGAACTGTGAACTACATGAATTGATTTAATGAAATTCGATAAACGCACTGTCAGATACTTTTTTAAAAAATTCATCAGAAGGTTGCTAAGCCAGATATAAATGAAAACTAGGAAAAACTCATATTCATGCCGATTCGCTGTCATATAAATTACACTGAAGCCACATATGGGACGTAATAACAAAGAATCGCCAAAATTTACAATTTCGGTACTTAAAATTTTCTGTATTTTATGTTTATGGTTTTTTTGATGTGATGACCCTGGAAGAGTTTTAACTATATTTTAAAGACAAGTTAATTCATGAAATTTAGTTCACATTAACATATGCTTGATGACAAGGTAATTGATTTAGGTTTTTAAGATTTGTTATTATGAAAGCAAGCTTTTCAAGAAAGGAAAATTTCTTCTCTAAACTCTGTTGTTCATTATCAACTAGCTACTAAGTAAACAATGATACATTTTATTACGTTGTCTGAATGCACATAATCCATAGTGTTCAGTCATGTCATGTTTTGGTTTATGTATAGATCTGCAATAACACCTATCAACTCTTAAATAACAAATAGATATTGGCATTTATGAAACGATATTATGATTAGAAACAATTGTGGTTATAAAAAATGAAATGAAAAAAATGTGGCAGTGACCACAAACTAATTTTATCTAATCTCTATGTGTTCTTTATAACAAAGTAATGATTAGACCTGTAACATGTGTAGACATTTACTTTATTTCCATTGATAATTTCAGTTATTTACTATTCTCGTTAAAGTTTGCATAAAAGGCACAAAATTCATAGTGATTGAACATCAAAGTCTGTAAAGTACGAATACAGAACGGCAGTTACATATTATCGCAAGCTTGTGAGTTTGACTCGTTCTGGCTAATATTATATACAAATTGAAGTCAGTGCGTATGCAGATCCTTAGAAAGTCATTCCTAAAATTATGGCAATCCTGAAGACACTAACTCAACACAGTTACTCTTCATTGCACGACCGTCCATTTATACCATTTTGACTGAGTATGAGCCCAGGTGTAGCTTGCACAACCTAAATAAAATTTAACCAGATCACCGATGTTGGGTTTCTATTTCACTGCTTTTAACCTTTTATGTACAAAATAGTCTTGTTTCAAAAAGATTGTTACAAATCTTAAAGATGAAGAGCTTTTCTCATAATGCTTGCGTATAAGGAACTCCATTCAAACGAAAATATGATAATTGTAAGCTTAAGATGTTTAACTCAACTTATATTTTCGTATTATTTCAGTAAGTAGATAACTGAACCTCTGACGTTTGGTAACTTGTTGTAAGGGGTGCATCAGAGAATAGATATATTATCGTTACTTTTTATTATTATAAACTGTTAAGTCGAGGCTTCGTTTCACAGATTCCTATTAAAGTTGGAGAATGTTTTCAGAACTCTTTACGTATATTATGCTTCAAAATCTGTTCTAATGAAATAGTTTTGATTTTTCCATAAATGCCAACAACTCAAACTAATATCACTGTATAGTAACTTGAATACTGCTGCCTTGTCATGTAACCCCTTTGAGGGAAGCAAATATTATATAGTGAAAGCAATGTAAGAAATAGTATTTTTCAATGGTTTAGGAATTTATAAAACACCTGTTTGGTATTGGAAAGGCTAAACGACTTAAAAATAGTATCACATGTAGTAACACAACAATAGTCAAGAAAAATTTTAAAATCATGGTTAATAAAGATTATATTTCTAAAGGTTTTCCTCAGTCGCACAAGAATGTGAAGAAATAGGATGTAGTAACTTGAACATTATATTATGACTGATATGCGGCTACAATTTCATTGAGGATATCGATAGGCTATATTTTCCACATATTAATTTAGTCAGATGAAAGCATACCGCTAGTCCCAGTGAAACTTGGTGTGCACTCCTAAGGCGCTTCACATAAGGACGAACTGATCGTTTAGTGAGTCAAGGATTTATTGGTAGTCTGATTTAGATCGGTCCATGATTTCAGAAAATGATATATGTCTAAACAAACAGGATTAGGATTTCAAGATTACCCCAGATTACTTTTACCAGTTACTCACAAAGCAATCGATTCGTTCTCCTCTTTTTTTGTTTAACTAAGTTCATTTTGCTTAGTTTCCTTTCGTTACATTATCACAAGAATTCAGAATATCATATCTTTCCATACATGCTAGTTACCTGTTCGAAATCGGATTTCTGTGTAAAATTTTAATAAAAAGAAGCAGACAATGCTTAAAGCGGTCTGAGATGTACACAGATACGTTTTAGATATTTTATGTGACTTCTATCATGAACACCGATTAATTAAACATTACTATACATCGATTGCAGGCGTGTTTATCATATATGTGCATCAGTTGATGTTATTTTCAATTCTATGATTACTACAAACCACATTACCACATGCTATCATTAATTCGATTACAGGTTATTTGATTATATTTAACCTAATTAATTGGCAGGTATGGCTTGCATGCCTAATAATATTTATTATATTGTATGCTTTCGTCTTCTATTAGATACAAATAATTCCCTTCCTGTCTATAAGAATGGCACATGGGACGGTAGATAATTTGCCCAGGCTGTATTTATATATACTATCAAGATCATATGGTCATATTGAGATAAACAATATTCCTATATATATATATATATATATATATATATATATATATATATATATATATATATATATATATATATATATATATATATATATATATATATATATATATATATATATATATACTTCAGAACACAATATATATCATATGAAGTAAAAAAAATATACGGTTCTTTGAAAATTGATTCTGTTGAGTTGTTCGTCCAGAGAGATCAATTTGACTACGGATAAGGAAGACTGTATTTTATTTTGAAAGTAACGAAATTTAATTGTAATTAGTTGGTTAAACGAAACTCTATCTAATGGTGTATGCTGTTCCGCTTTCAGAGTGGTTATTTAATACCTAAACGATTCAACCGATCATTTGATTCCAGATTTCAATGCCACCAAGCTTTTTGCAGTACAGTGACTCAGATGCACCTAAATGCAACTTAGTGCATTCATTTGAAAATGTAATTAGGTCAAATCAAAAAAAACTCATTTGATGATTTTCTTAGAGTAGCGCTTAGATAAACAATCGTTATCCAATAGAAACGGCTTTTAGTCATAGGTTTTTTTCGATCACAGTAAAAAATCGCCAATAAATAATGTATAGTATGACTCATCATCGTTTCTAATCTGTAATAATCTGTATTTCAGATATATTTAACTGAAATCAGTAATAGATTATTTCATGAAGACAAAACTAGTAACAGTAATCAGTGTAATGATGTGAAATGAATGATCGATGATGTAATGACTATAATTTAAATTTATTAAGTGTACCATTGTTTTGAGATTACACATCAACACTAGTGAAGACTGAATTAGTTAAGGATATTCAGGAGTTTAAATCACAGCAACTATGATATAACTATCAAACAATACAAGAGATTTCGAGAATAAACGGAAACTTGTCACGGTCGATAATCAGTATAAAGTGCCAGCATTGACTTACCTACAATAACACATATTGATAACGTTATAATTCAGGGTACTGGAACAATCTTAGACTTGAAACTCTCTACTAGTCATCAGTGAGCTTATTCTATGCCTTTTCGTCATAGAATTATAAAGACTGCTGTGATCCTGGGTCCTGGGTTCGATTCCTGCAAGTGGGGGTCGTTGATATGCACTGCTGAAGAGTCTCATACTAGCAAGCAACAACTATTCAGTGCTTTCAGGTTTCCAATGATGGTTTAAAAATGACTGATTCATAATTTAATTGTAGAACAAACTCCAGAAAATGTATCAGTAAAAACTTAACCGGAATTCATAATTCGGATCTACATCTATTGTTCAGTTTATTTACTAAGCAGAAATTCAGAAAATAACTGCAAGCCATAGCCAAACCTTTTCGTAACTCTTCAAAATCTGTATCACAAAACCGAATGATTATCAACTAATTTGAATTTACCTGGAAAACTATCAATTTATTGTTTGACTGTTTTATTTTTCAATTAAGAAGTTAAATGCATCCATGTTAACTTCATCTGTATGCACACACATAAATTTTGATCGAAATGTCAAAAAAGTAATTACCTTAGAATGAATATAAGGCAACAAAGTTAATTGTTTACTAAGTGTTCTTGATAACGCAAGACATATATCTGTCTGTTCAGTGAAATTTGTCGATACATTTATGTTTCATATTAATTCCACAAATAAAAAAGTAACTGTTTACATACAGTTTGCATTTATCTATTCTCATTGAACTTATCTACATTACCAGATAATATCTCGCTTTCATTGTGATAAAATATATGTATATATCTATATGACATTCTATGTATCAGAAGTCATCTTCAACCAACTGAAGCATACACTAATTTTTATTCATAAAAAAAAAATAGCTCAAGGAAATTTATGAAGAGTGGAAATT